GTCAGAACACACAGTGCATCGCAAATTGTTGGTATGGGGCTGCATTAGTTCAAGTGGACTATTTTCTATACTGCTAGGTGTTTAAGATATAACAATTCACTAAGATGATCATATTTATGTATCCTGTACAATATTTCCTGTAGTATAAATTAGCATTAATTTAAAATTCTCAAGTAAAAAAAAAATGTACTTCAGTAAATGTATGTCTACTTTACACTACTGTCTTTTAATCATGCGTATTAATTCCTTTTTCTTTTGGCCAACTCTGCTGATTAAATATTTTCACTCACTCATCCCTCAGACCTACATTTCTAAATGGTGCCATGTGTATTTTGGTTATGGGGCATAAGTCACTGATAACTAACACTCTCAAAAGCAGACTGCTTTTCTGCAATGTCCTATTCTTTTTTGGTGTATTTTTCCATTCCATGTCTCTGTAATCCAGACCTTCCCTTTCTCAAAAGGGAAGTGAGTCAGACAAAGCCTTATGTGGTCCATCTTGTACATTAGCATGCAACACAAACAGTACAGTTGGATGAACTGCAGTAACCCTTATTACAACTGTGACCTGAGTTAGAGCCAGGAAGTCTGTCTGACTGTTTAAAGGCTTTGTCACTGCATATATATGTCACAACATATCTGTTTTCACACCAAGCAGTCTGCTGCAAAGGGGCGAAATGCCCATTTATTGCTGATGAATTGGCCTATACGGTGCTATCACTATGATGAATAGAATACAATTGAGTTAAATGAGCCTTCACATGCCTCAGCACTCACACATTACTTCTGAAAGACTAAATCTTCATCTCTTTTGTCATGAGGTGGCCGGTGGGTGTATGTATAAGCTTGTGCTTGCGTGCATATAAGCTCCTCTTGAATAATTGTAGGAGGCACAGGGCGTGAAAGTGCACGCCTTGCGTGCTCCCAATTTGCAATAACAAGCTTACAAAAAGACTGTTTTTGTGTTTGGCCAAGGGCCCCTGTGGTGACTGGTGTTGTGTGCCAGCTCTGAAGGGGAGGGAAAGGATGGAAAGAAGAGTGGGGGTTGTATTAGGAGGTAAAATCTCTGCAGGGGTGTTTTGGAGGGGTAACTAGCAGTCATTGGCTAGCTAGCACCTGATAGTTTGACGGGACTTTTTTTGTTGCTGGGCAGTGCTCAGACGGCAGACACCCTATAGGAGCAGACAGAGCAAAAGTGCTGAACTGGCAGGATGCTTGTGGTTTTCCTGTTTTTACCATCCATGACTGATCCTGAATAACAACGATCATATGTAGGAGTTTCACTGGTCTGTTAAAGGGGAGGTTTCTAAATAAACACTGGTTCGTGAAAGGAGTGATATCATAGGAGACAAACACCTAGTTGTGGTGTTAGTCACTCTTTCACTTTACATGCAATGACCTTTAACACAGATAGAAAGGGTAAACATGTTTTTTAGTTTTATAGAGAAAATAAAATGAAAAAATAATTGACTTTCAGAGACATATCAATGTACAGTTATCTATTACTCTGCATATTCAAAACCACCATTTTTGAAGATGATGTTTTAGGGAATTTGGTCTTTATTTCTGATGTTGTACAGTTGAAACAAGACATTTGGGGACAGAAAGGGGGAGTATGACGAAACTAACTAAATAAAATAAATAATAATAATAATAAATCGCTATTATGGCACATCACGAGCATCAATTATGTTACATACATTCTCAAGTGATCAAGTTATCTGACCTTTATAAATTCACATTTCACAATTTTATATTAATTACACACACCTCCAAGTGATTCTTGAGCAGTTAGTAACTCCCTGAGTAATAAATCTCAGAAAATGTGTGTTCTGTTCCTGAAACTCAGACTTTGTGTTTCTTTCTGAGGCAAATGTAGTTTACTTTATCTTCCAAAAAAGAAAACACAGCTGCATCTGTGCAGCATGGATTCAAGTGAAGGGTCAGGGGAGAGGAGAGGAGATGAACAAGGGACAAATGGTGTCCTCTACTGGCCTCTGCTCTGCACTTCAAAGGGAAAATCCTGCTGAGTTTAATAAGCATAACAATTTAAACTTCTTTCGATTGGAAGAGTAAGTGATCTGAGTTTCGGACAATCATGACCACCCTTTCCCCTAAGGCTGGTCCAGATGTGTTGCAAGCTGAAAATTCTATTTTTTGACTTACATCCTTTGCATCTAAAGTAACTGAATCCACTATAGTGTCATGAGGTTTTCTGTTTTGGGGCAGATAAGTTTTCTAATGGTTGTAAGTCATGTCAGCAAAACAATAGTTATTTTAAAAGACCCATGTTGGAAGTTTTTTTTTTTTGGAGGTCATTTTTATATTTATTGAATAGTAAGTATATAATATTTAGTGAAAAGACCGTCAGGAAACCTAAAGCGAGAGAAAGGGGTATGACGTGCAAAAAATGGTCCCCTGATAGAAACAAATGTTACATTGTGTTATGATACACATCTTAACCACTTGGCCACCAGGATGCACATGTTGTACTGTATATGTGAATGTGGGCACACTGCTTACAAACACTATTGTATGTGTGAATGTCTCTTATTGACATGTCTGAACAAATATATGTATACAGCTGCAATGAATATTATCTGAGCCTAGATAAAGTGTGGTCATAAAGAGAATTCAATCAGGGGCACAGCTTGTTCCCAAATGCCTGGATAAAGAGAAAGGAATCTGGGAACAGATCTTAACAAGTCCAGACCAGAAACAGTTGGCCAAGTAAGGGTTGTGGGGTGGTGGCGCCTGTATGAAGAGAGCAAATGGAGAAAGGGAGAGGATTGGGGTGGAGTACAGGTACAGAGAGAGGGAGCAAATAATATTAGTAAGAATAATTATTTATTCGGAACAGTAAATTTTGGTCACAATTCAGCAGTGTGTGCATGTTTGAGGGGGTCAAACACACAAAGGAGCAAATAGCTTCAGATGCATGTGCTTATGCAATTATCCCTTGTAGTGTTATGCAACGACTGCTAAATGTAAGAACATATTGGGGGAATTTTCAGGTTTAAAGCACTAGGGAGTTGTATTAGAAGTACATTGGTGAAAGCTTTTAAGGCATTCTTCTACAGATTTTAGATATAACATTACAGTTAAAGTGCTATAGAGACTACAAATTCAATAGTGGATCACCTTGCTTTGTGAAGTGTCCATTTGTCAGCGTAACTGAACCGCATCTTAAATAATAGATTACTCTTCAATGTTTTATCAGAGAAACAAACAGTGGAAACAGAACATCTTTTCTAGGTTCTTTATTCACTCAGCACTGGTCAGAACAGTGCAGCCACAGGCAGTGCACTTACAGTGAGCAGCATGGTGGGCATATGTGGAACACAAGGGACACTCTATAGTCAGACTGAAAAACAGGCAGCATTACACTTCACTACTCTTCTGTCATACTTGCATCAAGTCATTTTACATTCCACTTCTCTGTGAACAACAAGAAATGCAGACAATACAGAAGGACACTTTAGTGGTTTAGTATCACTTTGAGAAAAATTCAGTGCATTTATTGAAATGAAAGACGGTGTTCGGTGCATTTAGGGATGGAATACCTCAAACTCAGAAGTTATATTTACAACCAAACAAAATGTAGGAAGCTCAAGACAAAAACTTGGGGGGGATCGGCAGCTAGAACAGTTATTTCAAAGTAGAAAAGCGAAGCATATTACAAATAATTGTCTCCTGTTTGTGTATTAAAGGTTGTTATCGGCTGGGGTGCTTGTGTTCAGTGACAGGAGTTGATAAGAGAAGAAAGGGTGACTGTGCAGATGAAAGAACCCAACAGATGTTTATCTGCTGAATGTTCTGTAACAGTCAGCACCTCATCCTCCCTCCTTCATCTAATCAACCCCCTTACCCTAAACAGTAGAGCACTCAAATAAAGATATTATCTGTAACTCGCAACTCCCCCATTCCCCTCTTTGTCAGGGTATTAAGAAATCAGTGGTTTACACATCCATCTACAACCCCTTGAAAACCCTCAGTCTTTCTTTAGGCAGTGGCGGTCTCCTTGACTTTGTCCACGATGCCCTCAAACTGCTCACGGATCTTGGTGGCATAGGGGGAGAGCATCTCGGTCAGCTCGTCGATCTTGCCTTCCAGTGAGGTGCGCAGGTCCTGGGCGGTGGCCTCCAGCTGGCTTCTGATGCCCTCAGCCTGAGTCTCCAGCTGCTGGCCCAAGCCCTCAGCCTGTGTCTTCAGCATGGTAGAGATGTCGCTAATCTTCTTGGTGGCGCTGTCACTGGCCTGCTGGACGTAGGGCTCAACCTGCTCCCTCGCAGCCTCCAGGTTCTGGGAGGTGCGGGACTGGAGCTCACCCAGGTAGGTTGCCACGGTGCTTGGGGGTGAAGAAGAAGGACACAGTTAGGTTTCATATTACAAGAGATTCTTAAAAAATAGTCTGCAAAAGCCTCCACCCCACTTACTCGCGAATCTCCTGAGTGTCCTTGTTCAGGCGTTTCTTCAGCTTGTGGGTGTAGGAGTTGATGCGGCCACGGACATCATCGCCATTCTGCTCAATCATGGTCTTGAGCTCACCCAAATACTCAGTGCTGCGCTCCTTGGCATCCAGCATGTCCTTCTGGAGTTTGTTAGCCAGGAGCTGCAGGTCCTGAGACAGGTGGCCTGTGGAGGCATCGGTGTAGGGGGTCAGCTTGGTCTGGATGTCTTCTCTGTATGTTGTCAGCTCTGCCATGGTGTCAGTGATCAGAGTGCTGGAAGCAGAAGAAAAGAAAGGTCAGATGTTAGGGATGTAAGCACAGTGCAAACATAGTCTTGGAATTAAGAAAAATGGATGAACTAGGAAAGGGAAGGATTTCTTGAAAGGATGAGCATGTGGAAGTAGAGGAATTAAGGATGGACTGAATGCATATTGAAAATCACTTACTCTAGCTCCCTGCTGAGCTGGGAGGCCTTGAGGTCCTGCACAACTCCATCAGCCTTTTGGTTAATATCAGAGACGTACTGCCAGAAACGATCCACGGTTTCCTCCCATTGGTTTGGGGTGGCATCAGCCTGGCGCACAGCACGGGCATTGCAGCCTGTAGGCACATTTGGGAAAGCTTGGATGAATACTCAAACATTACATCCAAAAAAATGTATCATAGTAAAGCCTAGACCAGCAGTGGACTTACCAGTGATGACTGCCAGAGCAAGAATCAGAGATACAGCCTTCATGATTGCTGGACAGACAGACAGATACACCTGTGAATTGAAGAGGGAAGCAATCAGTAATAAAACAGATGTAGCAGATATGTTTTACCTATTTATATAGCTATACAATTTAAGCTACCAATGTTAAAATGAAAAAAAACAAAACAATAACAGAGCATTAATAAAAAGTACATTTAGGTAAAAAAAAAAAAAAAAAGGAAAAAAATCAGTAGAACAAATGTAATGCAGATAAACTAAGCAGAAAGTAGTTTCTGTCAGCTGGCATTAAATAAGAAGACATGAGGTCTCTCTGCGCGCTGTGCAGCATTCTCACTCACCTGAGAGCTTGAGCCTTCTCCGTGCTCCCTGAACGGTGACTGAGGGCTTTTATACAGTCCCAGGAGGCTGCTGCTGCTGCGGGTGTGCGCGCACGGAGAGGGAGGGGGGAGGGGGGGGTTGCTCGCGTGCGCACGCCTTCACGTGGTGATGATGATTGTTGTCTGTACGGATTCCTGTTTCTGTCCACGCAACGTGCCACCAACACCGCGTCCGAAGTTCTCATAAGGTTTGCATTGTTGGTTGAGCAATGTGACTGAAAGACAGGGTGAAACGTTCAGTGCCACGGACAAATATTTGGTTGTTTTCATGTTTTTTATGCAGTTTACAAAGATTTACCAACACAGAGCCTTCCTTGGTGTTATTTGAAAGTATCATTTTCAATCTGATTCAATCAATATAAGACCCTAAGTCTTTACTTTATATGTTATGCCTACTTTATCCCTATGCTCAGAGGTGGTAATAGTAGCAATATTCAGATATTTTACCTAAAGTAGTCACACTACAATGTAAAATATTAGTAAAAGCTGGTGGAAATGAAGCTACTTTGAACTATTTTAAACACTTGCTTGCTCAAATTATAATAATACATTATAGGCATATGCTAACTATGGCTGGCAATATTTTCTGCTGAAGTGTAGTGAAGAAGAAGTATAAAGTACTATCAAACAGTCAAGTAAACTACAACTACCTTGAATATGTAGCCTACTTCAGAACAATACTTGAGTAAACGTTACCACTGCTTATATTCCACTGCAGTGAAAAACATACCTTTTACATTTATCAGAAAGCTGAAGTATTTATCAGATTCAGATCTTACATGTAAAACAAAATTAACTTGTAAGCATTAGTTGTAATATAATACAACAATATATTAAAAAAAATATAGATTTATTTATATTAACATATTGACAGTGTGTACCAAGGATTGTGATTCAGCTGTTGAAATCATTAAATTCTTAACTGTTTGACAATTACATCATATATAGTATATGTTGCCGCTAACTTCATGCTTTTACTTTAACTCTATTTTTTACGTGGTGGTGTTAACTGACTAACTTCACAGGGTTTTCTCTGATCATTGTCATCAAGTGGTCTTATTTGAATAAAAAATCCTCCTGGCACTGGGATGTAAATGAGCCTTTCACACATGCATTTCAATCTAAATTGTCTGCCATTGCTGACCATTGACACTCCACTAATCTGCCCCCTACAGACACACAACCCCCACCGGCACATATGGCCTCTTTACATGACAACCCCACTCTCGTCTTTTAAATGGTGAATGTAGCACATGTGAACTTCCTTTATACGGATCATATACACCAGATTCAATTTTCTATGTACTGTACTTGCTGTTCTGTACCGCTGCATAACATAGAGCTATAAATTACCAGTTTTACCTAAAGTGCAAATAAGATGTCAACACTACAAGAAGGGCATGTTCGGGCTTGAGGGCAATCAGATACAGCAAGCCCACTGTACAAAAGGATTACAGGTAACAAAATACAGAGAACACAAACTATTTTATTACCTATAAAACAACTGAACAAAAATAATGGATATCTGTTTTTATCTTGTATTAGGAGTTTTAAGATTTTCCCAGGATTTTGAAATTTTGGAAAGGGATGTTTGATGCCAAAAGAAAGTGTTTTCCCCAGCTTATTGAGCAACACATGTTTGTTTAGTAGCAGAACATAACTGCCAACCCCAAATGACTACTTGCCCCCTCCATCAAACAGACCTGTTACTTTCATTTCATTTTAATCATAACAAGACAGGGAATCAAACACATACTTCTCTATTCTTACTAAAAGGTTTACCAGTGACAACAAATCAAAACCAAAACTGAATAAAAAAATCTTTGTCTTTATTTTATTTATAGTATTTTTGGTGAACTTTTGTAGTGCTATATTGTTATTAGTCCACCACACTAACTTACAAGTGATTTATTTACCTGTGTTAAGGTAAGTTTGTAGATATCATGTAGAAAAAATTGTAGCAGAGATCTTAGTTGGTGTATTATTGCCCACTGAGGGCTCTACATGCTGTTATATTCAGTCACCTCTCTGTAAATGTATTCTAGTATGTTACCATTATCGGACCAGAGGCAAAAACATTGTGTAACTTCTCTGTCATACTTTACTAGTTATATTTAGTATTTTCACGTGGCAAAATAACTGTAAACCAGCTATAGCCTACATGTCATGACATATCAATGTTTTTAGATATGAAATAAACTCTGATTCCATTGCTGCCCATGTGTAATGACCTTTGCTCTTTAGGACTTGGCCTCTTTGTTGTCAGCCCAACAGATTTCACTCTTTGTCATTTTTCACAGAAACCCAACTTTACACAGGAACAAAGTTTAAATGGGTAGGCTTATTCAGGTAATTAGTGTGAGAACATGATAACATTAGTGTGTGATAACCCAGAGGGGTCAGTGTTAAGTGACTGGGAGACCCTGCCCAATGTATTGTTCAACTATCTTGTAATGAAGGACAATGTTCTTTAAAGTAAAGTAAAGTTTAAATGATGATAAAAAAAAACAATCAACAATGGGTTGAAACAGTATTGTAGGTGTCACTTTTCTGACAAAAGACAAAAGACCTTTGACCTAGGTATTCCACAACAGTAGTGTTGTGTGTGTGTGTGGCTGCAGAAGGTGTGTCACACACCAAATTAACCAGATAACAAGTCCAGTCCAGTTCAAACAGGCAAACAAATCAAGATCAGTCCTTTAATCCCATCATTCTGCATAAAACATTGTCACCCAAACACTTTCTGATTTTACACATTCAAGGATTTTCTTTTTCTATCTTACCACATTTGTGGAACACATTTAGTGTCTTGTGTGAAACATTCGTTTACACTAGCTACTAAGATGTATTTACAGTATGGAGATTCAACTGTAAACTCTATATATTGTTTTTATTATGCAGAGGTGATGGACTACAGTGACCAAACTAGACACATGTACCAACAAAGGTCACAAACCAGAACACACAAAACCACAGTGCCGTGCCCTCTGGACAGACGGGGGAAGTGAAACAGAGAGAATCAACCATGAGGTAATACAGTAAAATGTCTTACATAGTCAAAAGTACAGCTGCTTCTCCTTTTGCTCCATAACAACAGAGACAATGTCCAATCTCTATCAGGCAAAGGAGTGTGTAAGGACATCTTTATGAAATAGTGTGAACGACAGTAACCCCAGCCTGATGTTGTTCTCTGGAAGTTGGTTTGAAGAATTTGGTTTTTGGTTAGGTCTGGATGATCTCACCCCTCTGAAAAGGGAAACATCTGTTTAGACGAGTCAGCAAGGTTATTACAGTTAACGTCTGTGGGTTAAAAGTTGTTGAACTAGATGTTCAAGTTCAGAATTGAGTGTTTTTTCTGCAACACATCCCCCCCATCATCTGGCTCTGAGTCAGAGTGGTATCAGCTGATGAGGATGTGTGCCGAAAGAGCCAAATGTCTGAGAGTGGCTGCGGAAATGGCACTGTTGTGACGGTTTGAAACATGCAGCAGCTAATGCATATCTATCAACTAAAGTAACCTTGAGTCAGATTCCTGGCTGCTGTCATTTGCTGTATGATGCTCAGAGTGAGTGGATCATGATGTAGTTATATGTTTAAGCTAAAGGGCAAAAGCCTAGTGTCTAATAATGAGTTTTGTGTGCAACAACCTGATTGTTTGGCAACTGTATTCATTTGGTGTGAATTGTCGCCCATAGTGTGCGTGGAGTTGAGGTGGGCTGAATGAAGCCTGGTTGCTGAAACTGTCCGCCTGTGACGGCACCCACCTGTCACTCAACAAGGTCATACCCTTAATTATGAATAAATTTAAGCCATAACAACTTAAATGGGGGAAAATTCACACTGTACAGTTGTCAATAAAAATCAATAAAGTATTTCTGAATCTGATTCTGATTCTGGAATTGGCTATAGAGACCAAAACCGTTTTTTTAACCAGGTTGTAAACATTGTTTATTTCTACTGTGAAGCTGGGCATTTTCTAATGGTGGTTGTCGCCAGTCTCAAGTGGCCATTCGAGAAACTACAGTTTTTGGCACTTCAGTGTTGGCTACATTTGCAGGCCACAGAGGTTGCCATTTGGCTAAGACATTTGTTAAGTTTTAATAGTTCAACTCAGCGTCCTCATAGACATAGAACTAGTAAACAAACTATATTGGAAACTTAAAATGCAGATCACAACTGAATTCAACAAAGACCAACTCCTCATCAAGAATCATCAAGTACAGTAAAATGCAATTTTCATTGATGTTACGCCTATGTTACAGCAAAAGCTCTCATCCTCTCATGTCAACGAGTTATTGTATAATTATACTGAATGTCGTTGCGCTTGCCAAGAAAAGCTACTGAGATTGACGGCCTCCTTTGGCCATGCTGGTGTGAAGTACATACTTGTTGAGGACTTTAGTTTAAGAAATGCAAATATTGCAATGCTTTAATCCAACTAATTACATCTTTAAGGCATAAAATATACAATAGTGAGTGTTTTACACTCATTGCAGGAAATTCCCTGAACGTCTTATGTTGTCAGTGAAACTCTTAATGTGTTTTGTAGTTACTGACACTGACTGGCCAAAGATGTTTGAGCTATTTATCATAAAGCATTGGCTTAATTTTTCAGGTCAGGAGGTTGCGGCTTGGTTCATGAAGCTATAGCCAGGAGTAGCTTAGCTTAGCACAAAGACTGAAACAGATATAGGCCCAACTGTCTCTTAAAAAGAAAAGGGCCAAGCCAATAAGCACATTTCCCTAAAATGTGGAGGTATTTTGGTAATATGTTTATTTTAATACATATGAGATGAAATGTGACTGATTCATGCAGGGATACAGAGTAAGGATGATTATGACTGCCTCAGTTATGTAACTTATCAAAAGCATGTAAAAAAAATTTCAAGTCAAGACTGCAACGATCTGGCCAGTCTGCTTTAACAATTACAGAAACATGTAACTCTGTGGAAGTCTTTGTTTGAATAAATACATTTTTCTTCTACACCTCCCTAGATATACTAATTTATCAGAATAATATATGATGAAGAAAACTAAATAATTGTAATAGTGTAGAACAAGAAAATTAAAGGAAAGGAGAAAAAGTGTAGCCCAGTAAGCATTTATAGTAATACATAAAGCTATTATGACTTTTAACTTTGAAACATGCACATTCAGAATATACCTAAAAACATTCACATAATCGGACATAAAAAGAAATCAGAGCTGTGTGTGTGCTTGGAGGGTTAATGGTGAGCATAGTCTGTAACAGCTGGGGGCAGAACAGAGGAATGTTGTTTGCCACTGGGTAAGGCAGCGTGGGAGCAATCTGGCAGAAGGGATGGAGGCACAAAAGGAAAACTAAAAAAACAAGGTGGAAGCAGGATGTGTTTATGAACTTCCAGACTTGCAGAGACAAACCTGAACATGCCCCATCCAAGACCCACAACTGAATCGTACATGTGCGTGGCTGGGGGACGAAATTTTGCAATCAGATACGGAACAAACAAGAAAGGCTCTATTCCCCACTGATTTTTTGTGTGGAGATAATAAAAATAGTTTCTTATAATTGTCAAAATATAAATCCATATATCAGAAATGGCTGGCCACTGTGTTGCACATGAATATATACTCTATATGTTCACCAGATGGCGCTAATTCTTTTCAGAGATTCAAGTCAAGTGTTTATGTTTTTTTTTATGTATTGGACATTTGTGAAGCAGTTCGAAAGAAAATGATTGTCAGAATGTGTATATATTAGCATAATTAACAAAATATACTTATTTTGAAGTTGATTTAGCTGATCAAACCATTTCATAATGTAGGTGTGAGTAATCATGTTGGAGACACACTAGTTTCAAACACCACAATTAGTTTTCATTTTTTGTATTTATTTATTTTTTACTTGCCTTCGTTTGCCAGAAAAATCTTTAAACCTTGCCAACATTCATTTAAAATTTTACCAGGACTGTATAAATGACATCATTAGCAGCAGACTCACAAGGTTATGTTTTGCTTTTACATTATTTCCATAACATAGGAAGAGAACACAGTGTGTGGTCACAGACGAACACTCAATATGTATTATTTATCTATTGTTTTAATACTTTAAATATATCTAAAGACATTTTGAACTTTCAAAACTGGTTGTACTGTTAACAGTATGGACGTGTTCCTGGGTGGGATCAGATAATTAGTTTCTTTGGAGGGAGTTTCTTTCTGTTTAACTTGTGGTGGAGGTTGACTTAGTTGGCTTTGGTGAAGGACTCATAGAGGGAGGTGAGACGAGCCTGGAGGTTCTGGGCATAGGGGTCCAGCCTTTCCCTCAGATCATCAACGTAGGGGGCAGCAATTTCTTTCACCTGCTGGGCTCTCTGAGTCAGCTCACTCTGGACTCTCTCGGTCACGGGCACAAGACTCTCCTTGAAGTCCACCAGGTGCTGGTCCACCTTCTGCTTCAGGTCATCAGTGTAGGGTCCCAGCTGAGCCTGCAGGTCCTTCATACTCTGCTCCAGGCTGGTCTTCAGCTCCTCACTTTTCTGCATCAAGGTGGTCCTCAGGGCGTCAGAGTCCACGGATTCTGCGAAGGGGGCTAGCTCCTGTTTAAGCTGCTCCACTCTCTGCTGAATCTGGGCCTTCATGTCCTCAGTGTAGGGCTCCAGCTTGTCCTTGACAGTGTTCAGCTCCTGGATCACACGCTCTCTCAGCACATCAGCCTCTGTGGTGACTTTGGTGATCAGGTCCTGGGCTGCAGGGGGAAGCTGCTCCTGCAGGGAAACTGCATATGTGCTGGCTACGTCGGCACTCTCTGTCAGACGGGCACTAGACAAGAGAGTAAACAATGACATAAAGTTTTGTTCATATTTTAAATAGGAGAAATTTAATGTTGGTCACAATGGTATTGTCTGACCTACCTCAAATCCTGTCCAAACTGAGATTTCCTGATCATCTGGAGGGTGTCATCAGCTGTCTGGGTGGCTTTGCCAACATAGTCCCAGAATGCATCAGTCATCACTTCCAGCTGAGGCTTGGGTGCATCAGCATAGAAGAGGTTGGCTTGACAGCCTGTTGGATGGACACAAGTAAAGTTTAAACAACAGTTTGACATTTAATCATCTTGATCTAAGACATATGTACCCCTTAGAGGCAAGGCTTGTTTATCTTGAGTATATAAGTAGAAAGGCTCCAAAAAACAAAAATGATATTTTGCCATCATACTCACCACTGAAAACGGCAAGGACGAGCACAACAAGGACCTTCATGGTTCTTCGACCTTATGAAGAAAAAGATACAAAGCTGGTTAGAACAGCACCTTCACTAAGGAGTATTTCTGAAATGAAAAGCTCAACTACAAGGCCAAGCCAGTTCTTCATCATCTTACCTGAGTTTGTTGAGTGTATTTGCAAGTCCACTTGGCAGCGCTTGTGTTGAGTTGGTGAGGTGCTGCAGCTTATATAGCAAGCGAGACAGTAATAATCCCAAAGTCCAAGTTGTAGTGCCTTGCTGTCACCTTGCCTCACCCTGCTGTCCTCATGGACAACTTGCGTAGCCAAGTCGATACTGTTGCATCAATTCACATACAGGTTGAGTACATAACCCTTTTAATGCAGTGATCATCTGCCAGATATACATTATTATTTCAAAACATGATTATTTCTACATTAATTTATGGCCTAAATGTGTCTGCGATTCATCAATGTTGTGTGTTGAGTGTGACAAAATCCATAAGTTTATCCTTAAATGAACCCTGTCTGTCTGTTCTTAGCTACAGATAACTTTCTGCCAAGGCAGACAAAACCTCTCTCCTTAGTTTCTTTGATGTCCGGCTTTGATTAGATATACAGTCAGTGTTTTATTGTCTCTATTAACTTGGCATTTTCCAGCCAACGTCACAGTAACTCATGGTTTCTGTGTCATGCCAATGTTCAACAATCCCTAAGGGTTAGTCTGGCCAAGGGTTAGCAGACTCACACCGTCAGCTTCGAAAGGACAAAGTAGCTGCTATTTCACATCACACATACCATAGTCCAATTCTCTGAAACCAAAAGAACGGCAGTTTAATATATTTTTCTTTCCCATTTTTCTTTTAGACAAGGAAATATCTAAGGCTTGAAACTAGAATAATTTATTGAAAATATTTAGATCCTTTCACCCTGAGAGTCTGAAGGACAACTTGTTACTTATTATTATTAAGTAGGTTGGTAAATGTATTATAAACTTCCTTTCAGTGATTTGTACGGGTTTGAAGGTTTTACAAATACAAATTAACCTGCTATTGCAGTTTTTTTTGCAGACCACTATTTGATTTTTATGCGGACATAAAACACCTAAAAACATTACCAGTGGGTATCACCATGAATAATCCAATAAAGGTTAAAAACAGCAGCTGAGCGCCTTGGAGGTTTTTACTGGAAGCAATAGGGATACTGTGACAACAGTATTAAACAACAAATTCAATGATAGTGATTACAAATCAGAAAAAATATGCATTACCATAGACAATACTCAGGTTGTAAATGCTGAGTTAGTACACTGACAAGGAATCTGCAAAATGATCTATGATTAGCTGTAAAATAAGTTACTCATGTCAGAAAGAAACAAAATATCAGAAAGTTAATATTATTATGATATTATTTGTCAACATAATCACCATTTATAGTAACATAGTAAATATATTTAAAAAAAACTGTCAAATAAACAGCTAGCTCAATAGTAAATGAGTTGCTGGTGTTAAATCGCATTGACGATATTGATCAAACCGTAATTACGAGCAGCCAAATGGGAATATTCATTCATGTCATCCTCTACCTTGTAATTCCCTGTCAGTGATATCCTCAACAGTATCTCTGACTTGATGAAAATAATAATGGAAGTGTCAACAAACCGTTAGCAAAATGCCTACAAACCCACCATCTTTGAATCCAACATTAACACTAAAGCCCAGTTCCGACCAAAGATTCACAATGAGACAAGTTGAAACTTGTAACTACTGCCAGTGCCCTGGTCTGAAACCCTGCCAGTCCTCACCAATGCAACTAGACGAGACAGTCTTTCATCTCTATAGCAATGACTGTTTTCTGTTCTAACTGCCGGCTCTTCAGGCTTTTTTTGTATCTACAATTTAGCGTTGTAAAATATCAAATGAGGATAAGGTTAGTTGCCACAGTTGCAAGAATTTGGAGCCATCCATGGGTGCATGGGTAAATCTGAGAGTTTGTAACTGACTTGACCAGCTGACTTCTGGTCAGGCCGATTGGGTGTTGAAACAGGTGATGTGCCTGACACGTTCTAAAAACCAGTCCCTGGAGACAAGCTGAGCTGCCCACAACTCCATCAGCCGACTTGAGTTGAGCTGAGACAACCATGTTTTAATTAAACATTCAATCAAAAACAAAATTTTTATCGAATGTGCTGTGTGCCATCTGCTTTTGTTGAAAAAAACTGTGAAGTCATGAAAATCTACTATTTTCCACCACTTGTATTGGTCAAGGCAAGGCCCTTCATAGCACCAGGAGAGAAAAAAATCCTAGTGATGGCCATGGCAACACCTGCTATAGAATTCTGGCCATAGTTATATTATATATATTATATTTCCAAAGGTGTTGACTTTTCATATCTCTATTAAGTATGAATGAGATACAAAAAAGAGAAAATGTGATAGATACTAATACTAGGGCGAGTTATATTTGGGATGTTTCAGAGATTATTTTGTCAGAATTTTTAATTTACACTGTTTCACTGCTATAAAATAAAGAAACACATAACCTTAATCTGAAAACTGTTTCTTCCTCACTGTCAGGATGTTCAGGTTGTGTAGAGAAGATCAGATTTTAGCCTTTATTTTGTTGCTTCTTGCACTTGTTAAGATTAAATTGAACATGTTTTTCTGTTCAAACATTTACTGTTTTTCAATAAACTTACAGTTTTATCTGATTATCTGATATTGGTGCATAACAATAAACATAGTAACATAAAAATATAAATAAAGATGAAAGCAAGTCCTGAAAGTCAAGAAGGATGAATAGAAAAATAGAAAATTGACAATAACATATGAAAAAATAGACAATGTGAACAATATGACATTAATTTAAATGGAAGCTGTACCGTTTGTGCAGGAATTTGCAAATATTGTTCAGGTAATGTGCAAAAGAGCACAGTATTAAATATAAAGAATATTTGCAATGTGCAAGATAACAAAGCTAGATAATGCTTAAATGTCCTTATCCTTGAATTCAATAGTGTAGAAATTGGAAGAAATTATTTCTGACTGGTAACTCCTTACAGTCCATATCTATTTATGCCACCTTCTTCAAAAGAATGTTATAACACTGTGTTAAATAGCCATCTCCCATCTTCTTGTTTC